TATATATATATATATATTTCTATGAAAATATTGTGAGAAAGCTGATATAAAAAAAATTTATATACATATATGTCGAAAAAATAAGTTTAAAATAATAAATAAAAAGAAATCTTTCTTGCTCGGTTTTCTATATTATTTTTGTTCACTTTTTCACTTTATCACATTTTCACAAAAATTAGATCAATCTCTCGAGATTTCTCATACATTTCACCAAATGAACAATACACATAATACTTCCCTCTAAATTTCTACTCTGAACCAGATATACTTGAAAGACAAATGTTTAAGTGGAATATTGAAACGCTTACTTAAATAGAGAGAGAAAGAGAGAGAGAGAAGAAGCAATAAAAAAAGAAAAAGAGATGGGACAACTTATTTATTTCATGCATGCGCACTCCATTTTGGCCAACATAAAATCAGGAGAGTTGCGCTATTGTTCTTCTTCTTCTTTGTTAGTAAATGGCTCCTCGACTCCTATCATGATACGGCCAGTAACAAGATAGCCGCCTCAAGTGGCGAGTAGCGAAAACTAAATTGTGAGTAACATGGAAATACTACGTTGGTATCACTGTTTTATTACTCTCCCCCGAGAGCGCCCGCGAGATACAAGCCTGGCGGAAGAAGTTCAAATGCGGAGGTTGGTGGCTTTAAAGAAAGCCAGTAGAAGGCGGCACATTTTGACGGAAAGTTTCTTTAATAAGGAAAAGATGTCTTTAGGAGTGTTTGGGAAAGTTTTATCAATAAATGAAGTGAGTTTGGCTAACTTAGGAGAAGTGATAAAGCAGTAAAAAATTACATGGTTAATATCTTGGCGGAGGTCGCTGCAAGATCAAGCCCTCGAGTTAACCATATTCTTGTGAAACATACTTGTATTCAGATTATTAGGTTAAGTAAAAAGTCATCGCGTATTTTTTAGCTCAAAGTTGTATATACAATATCTTCGTCAATAATGAATGAAATTCAAATTTAAAAAAAGGGTTTTAAAGCTTGAAATCTCTACTTTTAAAAGCTTATCACATTTTTTAAGTTACATTTTAAGTTTATATGAGTTTGATAATTTTTACATACCAAAAACTACGAGCTGAAAAAGACGAAAAATTTTCTTCTCACTTTGTGGATTTGTAACGTGTCCAAAACGAATTTGAGAAAATTTTCGATTACCTATCGTGAAAGCTTGATACTTTCCCTACAAAATCGTTTTTTTTTAATATTCCTACGACTTTTGATTACTGAGTTATCGCGGATTAAATAAAAGAATTATTTTGACTTTAATTGCTCATAACTCCATTAAAAATTGTCGTATCGTATAATTTAAAAAAGAGATTTTTAAAGCTGAAACTTTACTCTATCAAGATATATTTATATTGTTGGTAGGAAAGTAATTGCGGTTTTTACTGATAGATGTCTTTTAAAAAAACGCGATGACTTTTTATTTAACCTAATATAATGATTAGATCTGATGCGGTTGATTAAAATGATTTCTTCCCTTTTCAGAATGAGTTTTGCGTACCAAGTCTTCGGTGAGGAATCTCGAAAATATTGTTCATATAATAATTCTTTTTATAAAAATTTACCATCAAGATAGTCCCGGAACTGTCTAGTAAAGATAGATTTAGGATCCGCAAGTATGTCCGTATATGGAATCTTGATATCCATCCGAGTGCCATTTCTAACTCCCAATTTAGCAAGTTCGTCAGCTTTTTCATTTCCTTGGATACCCTTATGAGAGGGAATTCAGACAAGATCAATCCGCATACCTGAGGAGGTGGCCAAATGTAATTGGTTTTTAAGGGCGTACAGCAGATAGTTACCGTTGTTAGTTCTAGATGACGCGATAGCCTCCAAGACATTTTTGAAGTCGGTAAAGATAACAGTTCTAAAACAGTGCTCCTCGCAGATCAATTTCACAGCAACCAGCAATGCCCAAGCTTCTGCAGTAAAAGCTGAGATGCCCGCCGGAAGACGATGCGAGAGATTCAACTGCAATATTGGAAAGTAAATGCCCACCCCTGTGGGACTGTCTGTGTCTGACTTAGAGCCATCCATGTAAAAAATTACAGATTCTTGAGGAAGGGTAAGAATTCTTGGAATGAACTCTCTGGGGATGGAATTGTCGACATTAGTAATCACTTTATTTTGTGTGTAAAAATAGATACGCTGTATGAATACAGAAAAACAGGTAGGAAGGCCCCATCCGTCAAGAAGGATAAGACGTTAACGATCGATCTTCCCTTCTTAATTAGATAGGCAAGATACCTTCTATCCATCATTCTCCTATCCAACCAAACTCTCAAAAACTTAAAAGAATTTGCCAGGGAGATGAATTGATCCCCAATGCTAATCCGATTGAAGTCAGGAATCTTATTCTTCTGTGAGAAGATCACGCATTGAGGCTTATCTGGAGAAACTTCAAGGCCCTTTGCGCGCAAATAAACATACAGAGAATCTAGTATTTTCTACACTGACTCAACGGCCTTCTTGAGATTAGCATCGCTGGCATAAATCATTATGTCATCTGCGTATTGCAGCATAGAAGAGTCATCCCGTGTACAATTAGTTATGTCAGCAAGATATAGATTGAATAAAATCGGACTGAGGATCAATCCTTGTGGAGGAATTCTCTTATGGACAGCGTGTAGGTCACCTGCTGTCTCTAACGAAAAATATTTCTCTTTCCGAAACGAAATTCTGGATAAACATACGCAATTTAGCCTGAATACCGAAGCTCCTCAGAAGATATGGTAGAAGGAACGACATTGTCAAATGCCCCAATGATGTCGACGAATACTCAGATCGTGAATTGGCCGGCCAAATTGACCGCGTGAATATGGTTAGACAAAGTCTTGAGGTTGTCCATACACGAGCGGAAGGGCCTAAAGCCTATTTGAATTTCAGGAATGATCAGACGAGATTCAACCCACCATTTAAGCCTTTAGTAAACAACCCTCTCCAATAATTTAAGTATATAGGATAAGAGAGAAATCGGTCTAACTGCATTGTCGCTCGGTTTAGGTATAAATATCACGAGAGCTTTTTTCCAAGATTCAAGTACAACTCCGGTATCCAGGAAGCCATTAAAAATCTCAACGAGAGCGTCAGTAAATTTTTTGGGAAGAGATGAAATTATCTTATTATAGACCTGATCCAATCTTGGGGCTGAATGCCTTTTAGCCTCTTTAATGGCGATGGAAACTTCATTACCGGTAATGGGCGAGTCAAGTACCGCAATTAAATTCTGAGGATTGGCCTCATCCTGCCTGAGCATGTCCACGAGAGAAGAAGGTTGCCATGAAAACAGAATAAAGCCTACAACTTTTCTATAGCACCATCACATGGTGCACGGGACAAATCTCTGTTAGAATGTTGATCTGAAGAGTTATCTAAATTCAAATTCCTATTTTTAAAAGATCGAACCAATAATCATAGTTTAGTTCAGGGAATGCGGTAATTAAAGTTATCACAAAACCTCTTCCAGCTCTTCCTTTTTTCTCTGCGCAATGTTTTAATAGTTATCGCGCATTATTTTTTATAATCGAGATAACTTGCTCAGGTGAATGATCTTTCATAAATCATGGTGACAGCCTTCCTGGCTGCGATTGCCTCCTGATAGGCATCATTCCACCATGGCGGTTGTATCTTACAGCCACTCGCGACTCAACTCCTTGGTGCTCCAGTCTTATCAGGCGTAACGGCGCCGATTCCGGAATAGATTTGCCGGACCAATTCCTCATAAGCATCCAAGGGTGCGTCCGAGGGACTGGCCTCGGTTACTATTGATTCGTTGTGAAGAAGAGAGCTTAAGCTTGTTAAACTCCTCTTTATTTAGATTAATTTTATACCTAAATTTAGATTTCCTTTGAAACAAGCCGCTAACCTGTATGTGGATAGGAAGATGATCACTATAAACTGTATCAGAAGAAGCAATAGTCGAGCACCCAGTGAGACAAGGGCTAAATCAATGACTGACTGATTGTAACCTAAGCTGAATTAGTGTTGGAAAATAATCGTTTAATATAACCAAGTCCAAGTCATCAATGACAGAAATGAGCGCACGACTGGCGCGATCCGTAACCTTACAATCCCAAGCCACGTGATGGGAAATGAAGTCGCCCAGAATCAGAACACCGTCATCCCGACCAAGGGGCTCAAAAATGTTTCAGAAAAATGTTTCGGCAGGGGTATTAGTGCCTGAGTATCGGTAGAGATTAATGACATTGAGACTATTCTTGTTAAACCGAACGCAAATACCTTTTACCTCTGGATACTATGGATACATGATGTGATTAAAATCTATCTCCTGGAATTCAATTTTTCTTCTGATAAGAATGCATATGTCCCTCTGGAATTGTGATGCAGCGTCCTTTCTAAGACAAACATAGCCTGGAACCTTGAGAGAAGAGCGGCAATCCATGATCGTTTCCTGTATGCAAACAATATCAAAATAAGCGATAAAGTTAGTGAGGTGGGGGAACTTTTCCTTCAGTCCTCTGCAGTTTCATTGCATAATGCTTGCACTAGTATTAATTTATTATGATGTGAGAATTTTATTTAATTCAAAGGCCTGAGTGATATTGCTTAAGTGTTTATTGAGCGTAGCAAAATTACCGAGGTGCTGTAAGGTTAATAATAATAACTGAATTATCGAAGAGACATAAATT